TCAGTCTTCACGTCTTCGTTACTTTTAGAACTACTTGTACTATGACTTCGCGACCGACTCCTACTCTTACTCCGCGACCGACTTCGCGATCGACTCTTACTTTTTGATCGATACCGCGATCGGGAGCTCCTCTTCTTCGAGCGCTCTTTGCTTCCGCTGCGACTCCGTCCGTGCCGTTCGGACTTCCGTTTGTCTCTGAAATCGCCAAAACAATTATCTCATCATAAATGGGAAACTAAATGCAGGACATAAGTGAGCGCACGGATACAGACCTGGATCTGGACGGGGATCGGGAGCGCGAACGCCGGCGCCTCGAGAAGCGATCGCTATATCCGGAGCGCCGGTATGAGGAACGGCTACCGCTGTCACCATTCCTCCTCAGGTCTGAGCTGTAATGATGAGTGCGTTTAGAGGACACGTGTTTGTCCGGTTTGGAGTTGGGTCGGGCGTATCGCGCCATTTGTATCGACAGTATCCGTCCGTCCAGACGCTCGCCATTCATGGCGCGCATCGCTTCCTCGGCGTCTCGTTTGCGGTAATAGCGGACGAAAGCGAAGCCACGGCTGGCGAACGTATCCGGATATCGCGGGACATAAATATCACCCAAATCTCCAAACTTGGAAAACACTTTCTTCAGGAGATTCACTCCCGTCCTCTGAGTGATGTTATCGACCTTCAGAGACACCATCCCCTCGATCTTCGGCGGCCCGTGACCTCGAGTGTTGAACTCCGAGCCGTCATCCTTCTCCTCGTAGTGGTGGTCGCTATCATCGGTCCTATGCCTCCGATTGGAGACATCGCTGGATCTGTTGCGACGACTCGACGGCGACGACGACATAATCACCGGTTATTTAAACACAAAATTTATTACAAATATATTATTAATAAATAAAATGTGAATCAGTTTTGTATTAAATTATTATTAATATATGGATTTATGCGGCGATTATAACGTGGTTTACATTGACAGCCGTCAAGACATTCACGCGATGATGGGATCAATTAGATTGTGGTTCGCGATGACTGTCTCAACACAACGTGTAAACCAAAAGCAATATTCAAATCAATGACTAATAAATAAATAATGAGTCGATTGAAGCACTAAATCATAATAATTAGCAAACAATTAGTGAAACATTTGCTGCTTTTTATGAGCACAACGTCTGCTAAATAAACGCTGTTTTCAATGGTATTCAGCGTTCAATCATTTGCCGCATTCATCGCCTGCGCCTACGGTCTCGCGATTATCACTGGGAATCGGATCCCAAATGTCTTACACTGACAGTCACTGTTAGGCTGTGTGTGTGGATGCAATTGACTTGCATTTTACGACAACAACATTGCAATTGATATGAAAAGGCAAACCATTGCATGGATTTTGAGTCAATTCATACCACCGATCGTCTCCGATATGCAACACAAATACTACAGTAACACTAGTGCTGTGTATGTCTGTAGGCATACACTAATGGTTGTAGCAATTCATAGGCACTTACTGTACGATACATTCAATTCAATGCATTCTCATTGCAGTCCATTGAAAGCCACGTCGAAAGGCATTCAAAA